TATTATATATTTACAATATATAATAATATATTATTATTTAATATTTATTATAATAAATATTATAATAAATATTAAAATATATATTAATAATTAATATTTATTAGAATAAATATTATAATAAGTATTATTATATATATTAATAATTATAATATTTATTATAATTAATATTCTCGTTTATCGTAATTTTAAACGTAATTATTATTATTATTATTATTTTATTATTATTATTATTATTATTATTATTATTATTATTATTATTATTATTAATTGGTATTAAGAACCGAAAAATTCATTGACAAAAATATTAAATCCTGTCAGTGTTTGAAACGTCCCTGAGTTTTAAAAGTAAGACAATGATATTTAAAAATAGTGAACAAAAAATGAAATGGAAATGATTGGACGAAGAAGAAGAAGAAGAAGAAGAAGAAGAAAAAAAAAAACATGAAAGAATAAAATAATCATAATAATCATAATAATAATAATAGAAAAGGTTATATAGTTGGCTATTAGTTTCTAAACTTAAACGTCGTCTCGTCTACGTTTCCCTGTCGACAGCAGTCACCGTGAATGTAATCAGGACAATTGACCTGAGTTGTTCGCTCGACTGAGTAATTGCCTCACTTCCGGTTCTCGCTTTTATTCCACCGACCTGCTTTGCCGGATCAACTCTTCTCTTTCCATTGACGAACGATACACTCCGATTTTCTCGTTTGAGAAACGTACGAGAGGAGATAATGTTGTTCCTTGTTTTTTTTTTTTTTTTTTTTTTTTTTTTTTTTTAAGATAAATTAAATCAAAAGATTATCTTTAAAACGTATCATCAAATAAAAAGTCAAAAGAGAAAAAGAAAAAGAAACATTTTTTTTTTTAACTACATGACGAGAAACTTTTAACACATTAGAATTTATCGTGTATATCTTTTGAACAAACAAAAAAATAAATAAATAAAACAAATTTATGTATTTATATAATTTATAGTATGAATAAATTATATTTTACATTAAATTTAACTTTTAACTATTTCGTTGATGAATAATGCTTAACACTTTGGAAAGTAACATCAAATTTTACGACACAATTTGTCGTTTTTCTTTTTTCACGAAACTACTTTCACGACAAATAAGCAAAATTATTCGTCTAAATTATGATATCCAATTTTAAAGAAAGTTTATATATATATATATTTTAAATAAATATTTAAAATATAAAATATATGTAAATAAAAATTTTAAAATAAAAATATATATATACATTACTATATATTATTACTATTATTATATATATATATATTGTAATTATTATATATATATAAATAAAAACAAATATATATAAAAATACAAAATATATATATATATATATGTAGGTTTTATATGTAAAATAATAAATAATATATATATATATATATATAATAATTAACATCAATCAAATGAATTATTTTTCGTCAATTACTTTCTAAATTATATTCGTACATGACAAGGAAGGAAGCAAGCAAGCAATGACGTAGAATCGATAAATAAGGGTGTGTATATGTGTATATGAGAGAGAAAGAGAGAGAGATAGATTCATGCGAAGGTCGGTTTCTATGACTACTAGAATTATGTCACGTTCCGCTATATATCCGGAAATACAAGTCACGCGAAATACGACGACGCAGCTCGTTCTCGGAATCCATGAAGAATTTCTTGTTACCGATACACACACACACACACACACACATACATATACACATATGCCAATTTTGATAAAAATTCACTCGACGACGAAGAATAGAAAGATTTTGTTGTATTTTTATCTGTTTTTTTTTTTTTTCTTTATCTTTCATTTTATTTCAATAAATTTATTTTTATTTCTTCTTCTTCTTCTTCTTATTTTCTTTGATTTTGCGCTTTCTCGAACGTCTTCTTCTCATTGATAATCGTAAAACTCGTTTTTTATCGATTATAATATTTTGTATCATATATATTTGAATTTTATGAACAATTAAATTGCATCGAATTATATTACAAAGATATCAATAAATTGATTGAGAAAAAAAAAAAAAGAAAAAAGGTAAAAAAAAAAAAAAATTATCTTCTTCTTCTTCTTCTTCTTCTTCTTCTGTCTTCTTCTTCTTCTTTTACACTTGATATATGTACTTTGTGTGTGTGCGTGCGTTACTTTTTTAACAGTTGTCAAGGACAGAAAATCGCACGGTTAGTAACGTCGCATTATCATGCACGAGCTGCAGCAAGTGCTCCAGCTAAGAATAAAGTACCGTTTGCAATCTCGATGATCCGTTACATCCCCCTTCACGTTCCAACGAATGCGAAGAGCCTTACACATTAACACAAAGAGAGAAAAAGAATGAGAGAATGAGAGAGAAAGAGAGAGAGAGAGAGAGAGAGAGAGAGAAATACTTTTTAACGTGTCGCATTTCTAAAGATTACAACCACCTTTTTTTATTGAATTTCTTTATTTTTTGTTTAAACGTTTGTTCTATTTTTATCTCTTTACCGTACCGTTACAACTTCGAATCAAACTTATTAATTATTTTTATTAATCTATTATTATTATTATTATTATTATTATTATTATTATTGTTTATTGTCGTAATATTTGGTTTATTTTAATCATGGAATTCCGAAATCAACATTAAGTGAAATAACAATTTATTACTCGTACATTCCCTTCAATCGTTGTTTTTTTTTTTTTTTTTTTTTTATGATATATATATAAATAAAAAAATATATAAAAATAAAGATATATCTATCTAGTATACGAGAATGTTTATCTTGAAAACTGGAAACTGGACCGGACTTGAATGCAAGCAATGGAAAATAAAAAGGCTGAGTGCAACGATCTTAATTGTCAGAACAACATTTTTCTTTGAGCTTGTGAAAAATGTGAAACAATATTATAATTGTAATTTATAACAACATTTTTGACAGTCACATTATTAACGAATTACAAATAT